GAAAAATTTTAATAAAAGTAAACTGGTCGGAATTTTACAAAATTAAAATGGGAGAAGCAAAACATGTTTTATTTATATTAATTTTGTTTGCTTCAACTCTGATAATCGAAAAATATATAGTTAAATATATTATAAATATATGTATATAAAAATATTGCAAACAAGTTTCCCTACTCTACTTTGTCTCTGTCTACAGGGCATACTCCAATCGAGCAGACTTAGGTTACATTTGCTTCTTTTTTTTTTACTAACTGTCGTTGATAACGTTGTCATTTGTATTGGCCACAGTTTGTTGGCTACGTACGCAACCCAATTTAATATCACTCGTTGCCTGGAAATCGTTACTGCGAGTTGCCAGTTGATTATGTTCCCCAATGGAGCTCGCTTGTCAGTCAGGCAGACAGCCAGTTAGTCAAAGAGTGAGTTAGACGGTCGCAATGCTGTTGGCTGTTTGTGTTTTTTGGCCTATTGATTTGACAGTTGGCTGTTTGGCTTGGGTTATGCATTAAAATGCCACAAAAAAAAAAAAAAACGAGGCGCTCATAAATATTTTTTATATGCCATTTCTTTGGGTTTCGCTTGCGGCTCTGCAGGGCTTGGCAAATGAAAACATCTAATTTAATCAATGGATTCACGTGTTGTGGCTACATAAATTGTGGCCACATTTGCAGTTTCAAGCTATTTTGTCGATTTCGTAATTTTTTCTAGACGTTTATTTGCTGTTCATTATGGGGCCATAATGAGAAACTGTCATGAGAGCCGAAATCGACGAACGGATTTGTCGTTATTTAAATTTAAATATTGTGATAGCCATTAAATTGATTTTTATCGACTCGATGACAACTTGTAAAATAACAAAACAAAATTGAAAACACAACCATCTATCACCTATATAATGATTGATTAATTTTTGATCGTCTTTGTCTTCGCTGGGAAAATTAATTTTCTTTAAGATGTTTGAGAAAGCAAAGGCAGAGCAGGGTATTTAGCTTTAAAACAAAATTAATTTATATTGATTAAACAGGTAATGTTGTTTTAAATAAATATATTTGCTTCGACTGTTAAACTATATATTATTAATCAATTTTAAATATTGCTCCTCTGCATATTTATTAACATCTCACGTTCCAAGCTAACTGATCAGGAAAAACACCACACAAATTCCCAGAATGGCTTAAACTAATCTAAATCCTTATTTGTTTGCTAATTGCAAATGACATGGCCAATTTGCAATAAATGAGGTATTTCTTGCAATTACTTTTAACTCAACTGGTCAGTCGCTGTTTACTAATTATTGGAGCATTTATGTAATTAAACGACTTCCTTTTGCCTGGTGCCCAACCTTAAGCGCGAGTTCCGTCAATTACGCGTGCCTCACGCACTCGACACTACTTAAAAGTTGAAACATTTGCTTTACGAGTATGTTTTACTCAACCGCATTCCATGAGCTGCACTTGATGCGATCCATAGCAACGGATTCATCAGCGTTTCGCTTTCCTCTGTCCACCGCATATCTTAGCACATTTAATTTTATGCAGCAGGATTTTTTATGCCATTTATTGCCGTTGCTTGCTCGTTGCCGTTGGTTGTTGGCTATTTGCTGTTGGTTGTAAATAATTTTTTCCATTTTTTCCGGCAACAGCGCTAGAAATGTGGGTTAGTTTTACAATGCACTAGGCAGTCCACAAATCATCCGGCCGGCTAATTAGTTAGCTACTGACGCTGTATCGTGCGAGGCATTCAAATTGCATTTCCATTTTAATGTTTGTGTTGTATAACAAAGTTGGGAAAACAATTTTTTAATTGCATTTCATTTAAGTACATTTCGCTTAAGAAATAGACGCGTGCCAATTGTACTTGATTGAGTGGCGCAAGATACTTTCTCAAAGAGACCCGTAAACGCACAAAGACAGATACATATAGAGATAGAGATAGAGATAGAGATAGAGATAGAGATAGAGATACAGATACAGATACAGATACAGATACAGATACAGATACAGATACAGATACAGATACAGATACAGATACAGATACAGATACAGATACAGATACAGATACAGATACAGATACAGATACAGATACAGATACAGATACAGATACAGATACAGATACAGATACAGATACAGATACAGATACAGATACAGATACAGATACAGATACAGATACAGATAAAGATACAGATACAGATACAGATACAGATACAGATACAGATACAGATACAGATACAGATACAGATACAGATACAGATACAGATACAGATACAGATACAGATACAGATACAGATACAGATACAGATACAGATACAGATACAGATACAGATACAGATACAGATACAGATACAGATACCGATACAAATACAGATACAGATAATTTGGTTGCTGGCATCGAGCTACGCCCATTCGAAAAATGTGCCACAGCCCGTATTTATTATTCATTAGATTTATCATAGATTCTTGTCCACTTTGTCAGCGCTGCTTGTGAGACATATAAATAATTAAAGAAACAGTCGTAAACAAGGTGCAAAACTCCCAAAGAACATGACAACACCAACAATGATATTCAACAAAAACAGCAACACCAAAAACAACAGCAACAACTAAGAAATTCAATAAAAATCACGAAAAAAGTATCTCATAGAATACACGTTAGCCATGAGATACAATTACGCTGAAATCTTGTCAGCAAATCAAAACTGCGAACAAAAACGCTGATTGGCCACAAAAATTCACACAGCTTACAAATAATTACATAATGCGCTTCGATTGCATGTGAAAAACTAAATCAAAATATATCAGAGGCAGGCAGGCAAGAGCTTAAAAGTCGAAGATTAAATACACTTAAAAGAGAATTTTTAATCCAAATTAATTAATTAATAAGATTTGACACAGGATATATCTTAGGAGAAATCTGGTAATATTTTATTATCGATATTTATATTTTTCAAATTTTTCCCCTAGAGTAGCTTGATGTTTATAATTTATTGCTTATTATATGATGTTTATCATTTATTGTTATGAAATTTCTAGCATATTGGGCTAGTCTGTATATAAGAATTGATTTTTGGTATATACTATATAATCTACCTGATTGAAAGTAAAGAGACTGTATTCAATTTTTTGTTATTTTATACAAAAAAAAAAAAAAAAAAAAATTAAAATAATAAACCTTTTCAGATTTTTAAAGTTTTCTTAGTGCCAAAGCTTGAATAATTTTGAGCAGTGTATTCAAAGACAAACAACTGAAATGCCAGTCAGAAGGCATACGAAAAATGTGCGTTTCGTTGAGCTTTTATATGAATTAACAATAAATTGCATAGGCTCGTTGTCTAATGGCTGCTCGGTATGCTTGCTAAATTTGTTATTGTTGTTGGTTGATTGTCTTAACTGACGCTGGCGCATAAATTTACACCTTATTGGCCCCCATAGCGCCCAGAGCGAGTACGTGCCCGGCCAGATTCAGCCCCAGCAGAGGCTGGCTAAGACTCGTTTATTATTAAATACCTGGTAGTGTGCGTGTGTGTGTGCGTGTGTGTACAGATGAATCGCGGATCAGATTGGCTGTTTGCAGTTGCCACTTGTCTGTTTGATTTAAAACTTTATAATTAAAGTGGTTTTGACTTAAATTGGTTAATCATATTTATATGTGAAGTATTCCAAAAGCCAACAAAAAATAAATTAATAAATGAATAACATTCGAGTGCAAATGAATGGCGAATTGAGCAGAATTTGTATTTGGAATTGGTGGGCTGTGAATATGCGAGTAGATTTAATTTCAAGTCGAGAATTTTGTCATTCTGTGAATTCATTTTTGCTGGCCTAATGATTGTGCAAATGCTTGATAATTTGACTTGAGTTGAGAAATAAAGCAAGTAAAGTTTAATCAGAGTCATTGAGTAGATACTTATGAGGGAGATGCTCGCCTCACTTTCTTCGATTCGAAGCTGTATAAACATTAGTATCTTAAATCTCCTTCTCCGCAACTATCAAGGAATAGTTGTAGTTATAGACTGTTTCCTTTCCGATAACGCAAATAGTTTATTTAGGTTTCATTTCTGGCTGGCCATATTTTGGATTTTATATCAAAGTAAATAATCGCCGCTGGCGTTTATAAATCTTGGAGCCTAGTCGGCCCCCTCGGTATTTGTGTGCCCACATTCAAACACAATGTAAACGGCTCAATCACGACGCACAGCATCGGATCGGAGGAGCTGCATGGATCCATGGTTGGCGACACGCATTCGAGGTCATAACCCAATTCCTTCTGTCGTCGATTCTCTCCGACTGGCTGTCAACGAACTGGTCTGCCACTGATACCGGCAGTACACACTCGATCATCAATACCCGCTGTACGTATTAGCCGAATGCCATGGCCCCATCCATTGCACAGATGCTATGCTGCTGGCCCGTTGGCTCGTCTAGTCGACGCTGGTCTCCTTGGTCTCTCGATGCCCAATTGAAATTCGGTGCGCATTGCAATCGATCGCACTTTTTGCCTTCTGATTGTGCGAGCGAGTACCTTTCTAACGTAGTCGTTGTCGTAGTCGTTGTCGTTGTTGCTGTCGTTGTCGTAGTTCGTTTGTCTGCTGTTTGGTTTGCCTGCTCGTCTTCTGGCCTGCTGGCATTGTCGCCCATCTTCATTATCATCCATGCTGCCGCGTGTTGCATTTGATGATGTGCATCGCCGCCGCCGCCGTCGCCGCTGCTAGCAGAATGCAACAAACAAACGTTGCCTTCATGTCGCCATCGGTGTTGTTGTTGCTGTTGCTGTTGCTGTTGTCGTCGGCTGTTTGTTGGTTACCGTTGTCATGATTTGTTGTCGCCAGTTTCTAACCTGGTCATACCACGATTTTTGTCTGCATTTCTTGCCCGGCTAGCTGGAATTGCTTTTGCTTTCGTGGCAGTAGCCAGGCTTAATGCCTCAAGAATCTTAATAATTCCAAAAGTTTTTTCTTGCCTTCTTGAGTATTTCCTGTACAGCCGGAACTCACCGTCCCTGTAAGGACAAACCTGCCCAGTTTCAAGTCAAAGTCATCAATCTGAGTGCGGCCGCAACTCCTACTCGACCGCAAAGTGGTGCTCATAACATGTGTGAAATTGACACCACATATGCCATCGGCTAGCCGGCGCTGGCGGCGGAAACAAAAGCAATTTTACGCTACATTTGCTTAATGATACAGCCCTCGGTACAGAAAGGCAGATGTTGCCCGCCACTTTTTGGGGCTGTAAAAAGAAGAGCTGCAACAACACGCCGAGCATTGGAAATAAAAAGTCAGATATGTATTCTCATCGATCTTAACGACATGAGTTGCCTGCGAATATATTCGACAAGGCGATAGCCTAGATCTTCTGCAATGGGTTATGAACTAGTTCCGCCAAATTCCATAGGATTATAGCCATCCTTGCATCAATTGCTTTCCTCTAGAAATTGAATTTGAAAACAATTTTGGAATGCTTTTAACGACATGAAATAGAATTCAGAGTTCGTAGTTCGTACAGGATTTCTAAAAATTGCCGTTTTTTATTTATTTTTGTTTTGTTTTGGCCCACTACGACACTCAAAATTTATTTAGCAAAATGAGCAGCCGTTGGCAGCAATGGGTGGATCGTAATGCGAGGCCCAAGAACATATTTATAGCTCCATCCGCGCGTCTGCCACCGACTCGCTGGCAGAAGCCGGGGCCAATGAATCGACAGCAATGGATTCATTTTTACCAATGGGCCAAGAAGAATGCGCGTCCGCCACCAGCTAATAGAGCTGAGATCGCGCGAAAGCAAATGCAGACACCGACACAGATACAGCAGCCAAAACAGAGCCCGTTTGATCCGTACTCGCCACTGATTTACATGTACATCGCATCCGAAGTGCATGCCAATAGGCAGAAGCAGAAGAGCTTACAGCAACATTTTGAGGTGCTCAGTCAGCCCAAATACAAGCGCGAAAAGTATGTGAAGCCACCCAAGCGGGAGCATCCGTATCGGCCGCAGCTCTGCAACCGCCCACCGCCCAGACCCGAGCGCGGGCGACCAGTGGCGAAGCCCAAAGTGCCGTGCTGCTTCCAGCACGAGAATCTGAGACTTGATTTCTGGTCGAAAATCGATTACAAAATCTCGCCAAATGCCCTTAAGGCCAAGGCCTCCAAGAAAGTCGTGGAGCTGGCCAAGCCGCGCACGTATCCACCCAAACCCCACTGTCCGCTGCCGGCGAGCGCGAAAGAGCCTGCGCCCAAGCGCACGAAGATGTCTGCGAGGCAGTGGCGCGAGCACCGCATACGCCTCAACAGCCTGTCCTTGCCAAATCCCCGTGTCCTGGAGGAGCTGGGCAACAGATGTAACTGTACACACTTTCAATGTCTATGTAAATTGTGTGGCTGCATGATGCGCGAGCCAAGGTAAACCGATTTGAGAGCGCAATGAACTACAACGTGTAATGTTCAATGCTCTATCAAATCGCTTTTCCATGGACTGCTGCATATTTGCAGCCATTTCGCTAAAATTCAATGTATAAATTCAACCAACTTTTTAAATTTGAGTAAATATCATAAAAAAAAAAAAAAAAATTGTCTCGGTTAAAATGTTTTTTTCAAAGACTGATTTAGTCCCAATCGATCCTAAATATAGTTTGTTAGTATATTTTAATTTAATAACAATTTGTTAGTTTTTATAATTTAACTTACAAAATACTCACAGTATTCATGGAATGTCTGATATCGTAGTCAATGACTGGCTCAAAACAGATTCAGTTCGTTTTCGTAATTGTGTAGCATGCTGTGCATTGTTTTTTATTCAGGGAAAACTTTTCATTGTTTCTGAGAGCCACTTCAAAAAAACATCTGCTAGCCAGTGAAAAAAAAAAAAAATTATTTAAATTTTTCAAATCAAAAGTCTTAGTATTGCATACTCGTTGATTCGCAAAACCTGTGAAGACTCCTATTCTTCAAGATGAGCTTTAACGACGAGGATGGCGAGCCATCAGAGCGGCGTGTGGTGGAGGAGGAGGAGAAGCCGGCGCCTTCATGGGTTGCTTGGTGCGAGCGCAACTCTCAGCCCATTAAGCGAAACTTACCCAGAGAGCCTCGGTATCTGACGCGTTGGCAAAAGCCTGGACCCATGAGAAAAAAGGAATGGAAACAGTTCTTTGCGTGGGCATTGGAGAAAGCGATGCCAAAGGAGCTGCCCATAGTGGAGGTGCCCATACCGTGCGCTCCCAAATATTTGCCGTGTGCCCGTGAGCCGAAAAAACCAGATCCGGAGGCTCTGGCGGAGAAAATGGAGCAGCTGTCCAAGCCACTTGAGCGTAAGATGACACCCAAATACGTGAAAGAGAAACCATTCTATCCCTACTCTCCGGTCATTGTGTGGGGCCAGCCCGCAAAGCACGATAAGGGCCGACCCTTCCCGCCACCCTTCATACCCTGCTTTTTCGCAAATGACGAACTAGAAGATGATTTCTGGGCCGAGATGCGTTTCCCAGTGCGTCCGGCCGCCCTGAAAGCGCGCCCGTCTCCGCGGATACTTAGCTTGGCCAAGCCCCAAGTCAAGCCGCAAAATCCGCCACACTGTCCCATTCCGAAGAGGTCACCTGACCCACTGGATGTGCCGCCGCCGAAGCGCAAGAAATTCACACCACAAGGATGGCGTTTGCACCAAATACGGTTGATCTACCTCTCAAAGCCGGTGTCAAGACCAGAGTTCGAGTATTTCTATATGTGAATCAATTAGGCTTATTTGTGTCTTTTAAATTCTAAGTACTTAGTCCGGGGCTCGTATTAAAAATGTTAAGTTAAATCCCAGCCGCGACTTCTCGTTATTTACGAATGCAATTTGCAGTCCTCAATTTCACAAAATTGCCTGGGCAAGCAAAAGTCGCTAAAAAAAATTAACCATTTCACGCTGATAAAAATTTCAATTTGTATCCTTGACGGGCCTTAAACAGTAGCCACGACCACAACACAGACGCAGCTTGCCGGGGCCACAAAACATAATCCAAGCGCCCGGCCAGATCTGCCTGGCGACCAACCAAGCTGCACTTAGTCATGGCAGCCGCATTAGAGTCTTGCAGTCAAAGGTGAGCTGCCGCAAAGAATGGCATTGTGTGGCAATAGCCTCTGTGCCCCCTCAGCCTCATGCGCGCCGCCTCCTCCGAGCCGACTGGCAGCCGCCAGCTCCAAATTGCTGTTTATCAAGCGTAGCAAACATGCGTCACATTGACTTTGGCTGGCTCGGCTAGGATCAAGGTTCACAAATGATCATCAGTCAAATCAATTAGATAATTGAATGAATGATTTGTAAAATCCGATTATGTGCGCTCTTCCTCACACACACACACACACACACACATACATATTTATATAACTGAATGCTTGCGTGTGTGTGTGTGTTTATATCTGTTGTTGGCTTCAGTCGGAATGCCTTGTCTTGCCCTTTCTTGCTGAATAACGCATCAACTTGCATAAGAGCCTAACAATTGCATATTATATTCAATTAGCAAAGAAAAGGTAATCTTTATTATAATTAAAGCGCAGCTAAAATGAACTAATATAAAGATGGAATTAGTCAAAGTTCATATTACTTTAACTTAATCAGATTTTCTTATCATAAATTCTTAAGATAAAAGCCCTGCTGATAAAGAAAGCTTTGCTAATATGGGTACTGCACACTCTTTTGCTCTAAATTTCTATTCCCTAAAAAGTAAAACCTAGGGAAACAATTTATAATCGATCGTTTCCCCTAGTTTAACAAATTTATCAATGCTTCAAGCCGTGGTCTGCTTTTTGTGTTTTTCAATAATATAAATCTTCCTTTTGCTCATTTTGATATACACATTATTCAGCATATATTAAAACATGTTGAGTGCCTGCTGAAGAGGCCGCTTAGCAGCTACCAACTTTATGGCAAAAGCCACAATTTTTCATTATATTTTTCCACGGCAGGTCGTTAAATATGCTAAAAAGCGAAACTTTAGACAATTTCGGTCTTTCACTGCAATGCCGCGACTCGCAACGACATTTGGCCGAAATACGTGGCCAAAGCAAAAGAATCAGCAACAGCTACGGCAATCAACATAACGAATTGCCCAAATAATATAGTCGATTCGTGGCATGGATTGTGTATGTGCAAAGGATTGCCTCTTGTATTGAATATTATTGATAAAACTTATGGCACAAGGCAGACGGACGGACAGACAGACAGAAGGCAGGCGCAAGCGATTCAATAATTTAGCACTCGTTCTCGATTTTCGGGGCAAGTGTAACAACAACAACAACAACAACAGCAACAACGACTATCGAAGCAGCGGGCTGGAGTATCTTATTAAAAACTTGCTACAAGCTGCAACTGCCACAGAGCTGTAGACGATCCCGAGCAGGGGGCGAAACGACTAGTGGCTCCAACTGTTTTTGTTCTTGTTTGTCTGCAGGCCATGTTGCTGATGATTATGATGATCGCACTGCGCTGACGAGTCTATGTCGATCAGGACTGGGCCACGAGGCGACGTCAGCGCTGATGATGATGATGATGATGATGAAGTTGATTGGGGATTGTGAAATGCGATGATGTTGCTGCACTTGCGGTGCATACCAAAATAGCTAGCGCCAGGCAATGTCGCCAATGCGACAACAACATCAGCTACAACAACAGAATCAACAACCAGCCACATTGTTGTCATCATCATCAGTCGACTGCTGCTGCTGCTGAGAGTTGCCTAGCAAAGTCCCGTCTTGCGGATTCTTTGTTGACTTTGTTTTATTTATTCAATATACAGTTAGCTAAAGTTAAGCAAAGTAAAAGGGAGATATGCCAAACGAAAATAGAAATAAAATTAGAAAAACAGCAAACATCAAATAAATCATAGGAATGTAACATTTGAATGCAGCCCAACTGTGCAATACTCGCTAAAATTGGAAAACTAAGAAGTCACATATATTTTTATTTATTTATTTAATTTATTTAATAAACCTCTTTATCTTAATGTTTAGTCTAGCAATAATATTCATAGAGTAAAGCATCGGTACACACATAAACCAATATACTTTCTGCTCAATTTGACGAGTATTAAAATGCACATCCCAGCTCTTTCAGCTGGAATAGACAAATAATATATGCAAACCTCAAATTCACATTCACGTTTGAATTCGAATTCATATTCCCATTCGCATTGCTCGTTCTGTTGTTCTTGAAGTCTGTGCGATGCCAATATTAGGATTTGACTGAAATTTCCGAGGAATGGAAGCTAAGAAGCTAGCCTTAGTTTAAAGTGATTAAAAATAGTTCTTAGTTAGGGAAAATTTTTAAATTAAGGTATACCAAATATTAATTTAAGGTGATAATGTTTACGTATTGTAAAATAAATTATTAATTTTTTTTAAGTACAACATAAGCCAGTTTTTTATGATGATATGAAAAGTTCTTATGGCTCAATAAGTTTATGATAATTATGATGGTATAAAAAGTTGCCTTAAATATGAGGCCCAAAGTGCAGGACCCATAAGAGCAACAACTGTTGGCCTAATAAACGGTTTTGGTAGGGGCGAAACAATTATTGGCGCCGAAATGCATTTTTGTGGCATAAATTTTGATAATGCTATTAAAATGTAACAAATTTTCGGCAATTTGTTTTTTATGTTTTACTCCCTTTTTATTTGTTTTACTGGTGGTTGTTGTGCGCCAGCTGTTTGGCCGGAACCGCAAAAAAAATGGGTAGAAAATGAGGAAGAAACTAAATAAATTAAGGCAACGTTAAGAATAATACCCCAATTAATCAATGAAACCCATAATTCTCTTTGCAGACTTCCTGGGCGACTTTAGCAGCGTGTCGTCGATGCGGCGGCGGCACCACCCGCGTGGCACGAAGCGCGGACGACCACGTGGCAGCACGAGGCGCGGCGGTGGCCATGGATCGCTGCAGCGCGTGCCAACGCCGAGCTCGCCGGCGGTTGGAAAGATCAGCTCGCCGCTGCCACAGCAGGAAGCGGGCAACGCCGGCGCAAGTGGCGAGGCTGCCAGTGGTGCGACCGTGCCCACTCATGAGGAAGGTAAGTGCAGCTAACGGCTGCCCTGCTAGGCTACCCTGTTTACGTGGACTCGAGTGTCACTTGTCGCTAATCGTCGATATAATCACGTTTAGTGTTGCCTCTTAGCATACGCACAGACACAACGGCATCTTTCTCTCTCTCTCTCTCTCTCTCTCAACAATTGGGCACACTTGAGTGGCGCTTTGTGGTTGCTGCTGCCCCTTCGCTTCACTTCGCTTTGGTTTTTGGCTGCCCGCATTAATCGGCAAAGGGGGAACAAACTTCACTTGTAGTACGTGACAATTTTGGCGCAACCCAAACCATTTCCATTATATCATCATCCGATTCATTGGCATTCGCTGCTCCCCCTTTGCTTGAATGCCAGCAGCTTGCTCGCCCCTTCACGCAGTCAGACCAAATATTTGTTCAAAGATTTGCATCTGGCTGCATTATCGCTGATGTACAAACAGAAACAGAAACAGCCCCCGGCGCAGTTGATACTGTGGCTACTCAACGCGCCGAGCACTTCCTAAGTGCTCATAATTGAAGCGCTGCTCTCAAGTAGTTGTGGGGTCTTTGAGTTTTGGATATAGCTGGCTTCCTGTTTTCTAAGTAAAAAATAGCGTTGGGTTATTTAAATGGTTTATGAATGCTCATACAGCTCCTAAATGATGAAGTATCAAGGTAGCTTCTCTCTCATTCAATTTCCGCTTTATTTATTTATATGATATTATATAATTCCAATTTTCTGTTCTCACTCAATTAGCTAGTTTGTAATGCTTCAGATTGGTTTCTAGGCACATTTGCAGCTGTCTGACAATTTCTGATTAATTCCTGCACATTTCAATCGATATTCATAGTCATTCACGGCAATTAGCAGTGGCTTTCAAATTATGCAAACAGCTGCTCAACTTTAATTCCACAAATTTATGCAACGAGCAAACACATTTGAATTGGGAATTTGTCGAATTTTTTGCAACTTCTTTTCGTATTTTCCGCTAAAAACACGTTGGCACATGTCCAATTTACACGACAAATGATAATTGCATAAATCGGCTTAAACGTTCAGACGCACAACCAAAATGCTGCTGCGAGTGTGTGTGTGTGCTGCGCCAGACAACACGTGACATAAAATAACTGCATTTCCATAAAGAAAAGTCAATTACAGAAACGGAAATGATTTGATCGGCCTTGAGATGCTCTATAATGTGGGCATAATTTCTATATTAGATAAAGATTTTAAAATGTACAGAAAATATAAAAGTGTATCAGACAACAGAAATAGCTAAAACTCTCATAAGGTAAACTTAGAAAACAATAAAACTTTTCTCTACTTAATTATATTTTAACATTTTGTATTTGATAAAAAGAAACTATAAGATCTCCCAAAGGTTAAGTGCGGTATAGATTCTTTTAAAGTATTAAACTATATTGATATGCCGCAGTAGAAACCCGCTCAATCCGTTATCGAGGGCATTTAAATGCAGCGCTGCTTCAATATATCACTTAACCACAATGAACTGTGCTCGCTGCAGGACATTGTTGCCAGCCTGGGCTTGGTCCTGTGCGGGCAGTGATAATGTGCGGCGCTTAAAAGTATGCAACATTGTAGGCAGCAACAGAAATGAGGATGTGGCAGGATGCAGCCGGAACGTGCAGGCGCAAGCAGCGGGCGCATTAGCGACAATGTTGCCGCTTGCCTCCGCCCGGATTTCATGGCCTGCGCCGGCTAATGGAAAGCGGAGCCGTCAATCTCATTTACATAATAATTACGATTATTC